CCAGCAGGTCGAGGCTGCAGTAGCCAGGAGTGGCCACTGCACTCCAGTCTGGGTGACAGAGTGAGACTCCAACTCAAAAATAAACAAAAACAAAAACAAAAAAATAAAATATTTTCAAACACTCAAATTTCCAAACAGGCATGCATTTTCCTTATCAGGAAAAATGCAACATTCAATATCTTCAGGGTTCAAGGCTTTAACATTTCTCTCCAAATCCAAGTCATCCCTTATAGGTATTTTGGACAAGGCACTTCGGAGAAATAAAATGGGGAGAAAAAATGCCAGAGGCTACTAACCTTAACTCTCATGACCTTCTGAAAGATACCCTGGGCATTGCAAAGGTTTTCTGCTTTAATCACATGAAAGCAATACAGGCCGAACCTTCACAAGCACATGAGTGATTCAAGGAACTAAATTAGAGAATAGAGAGAATCATCTCATAACTACTCCATTATAAAAACAGGAGGGCAGAGCAGTTGTCTACTTTGCAAAGTGGCGCCAATGATTAGCCTGCCAATAGAGGTGAAAGGACACCATAGCGCCACTATTTTTATGTGAGCCATTCAGTTCTACACAAGCTATTACCAGTAGCGGAGTGGAGTTGCTGCCGAATTATAAAACGAGATTGCAGCTCATCACTGACAGTCTTAGGAAGGATCACTGTGGTGAAGCCTAGACTCTTTGCTTCTTAATCAAGTACAAGCAGTGAGTTAAGACAGAGTTCTGGGCAGTCACTGACTCTTCTCCCAGTCATCGAGCTGGTGAAAGAAAATAGATCTTAACTGTCAGATAAACTGGCAATAAAATGAATCTGAGGGCATATGATCTATAGTGGAGAGTGCCTGTACAGAGAAGACTCACTTTCTGCTCTTGGCTGAGCTACAGATTTACAGGAGAATCAAAACAAGAGGCTAAGTCTCCTTTTAGGCGAGTACCTCCATGCAGAATGGGTCTTCTGAAGGAGGAGGAGATGTGGGTGCTCAATTTTCCATGCAAGGAGAATTCTCCATCTAAACATCAGAGCTGCCATGGTAAGAGCATGGCAAGGGTAAGTATGAGTCCTTAATTTAACCTGAGGCATATAGGCCCACAAGGAGACCGTTCGTCACCCCAAGCTCTGGGGTTATCAGAAATGGCTCTCTCCTGGCCTCTGGGGAACTGATCATGTGACTGAGTAACTTAGAGATGTAGCCACAAGGCCCCATGTCACCAAGCCACGTAATCCAGCATTTAGCCCTGCTGTAAATATTCAGTTCTTTGAGCCCCCGCTCAAATGTCACACCCATAAGCCCTTAATCACGGCTAGTGTCTGTCTCTGGACCCCATCCAAACTGTCAATGTCTTTCTTGCACCTCGAACCAGATTTGGCACACGGTGCATTCCAAATAGAGCTGAGCCTGAACTGCACAGGGAGGGGACATCGTCTGCCTCAGCCGAGACATTAAACCTTGGCCTATGCAGCCTGGCATGCGGCTCCCTTTTTTTAACTTCAGAGCATAGGGTCAGCTCGAGTCCCTCTCTGGGGCCATGGCACTCCACACAAGATCTCTCTTCAAGGGCATGTGCTCCCTGAATATTTACTTCCTGGAGATGCACTACAAATATTAACAAGTTAACATTTACAAAATGCTTTTACAATGAAAAACACATTTACCAAACAGAATGTTTCTGTCCAAACCTTGATACTCAAAATCAATATTGCCCCATGCAGTGCTGTTAATATTTATTTTCTTACATCATTTCTCCAGTATTTGATTCCTTGATATACCACCAATCCCAAACTGTATGAGCTGTAGCATTTTCTAAATGGATGCCCTTGGAAGCTGCCAACAGAGGGCTGTTGGATGCCTCTGTAGGGGATATCCTACAATTTATTGGTGGTTGCTTAAAGCAAGCTAGGACTCCACAAGAGTAACTTTATAAAGATGGTGAACAAATGGACAAAGTTTTTTTTTTTTTGAGTTGGACTCTCACTCTGTAACCCAGGCTGGAGTGCAGTGGCCGCTCCCGGCCACCGCAGCCTCGACCTGCTGGGCTCCGGCGATCCTTCTGTCTCAGCCTTCCAAATAGCTGGAACTACAGGTGCGCGCTACCACGCCCGGCTAATTTTTTGATTTATTGTAGAGATGAGGTCTCACCAAGTTGCCCAAGCGGGTCGCAAACAAAGTTTTTTTTTAATCACTGTTTCTACACCAAGAGTCAGTGTAAACCTAAAGAAACTACTTATTCCAACAAAAAAAGTGCCCTTCAATAACGCATTCTCCTAAATTCCTCAGATTTTCAGTGCTACAATTCTCCTGCCAGTTAGGCCACAGGCACATAAGCCATCTTTGCTTTCACAGAAGAGGATAAGTAAATACCCAATAAACATATGAAAAGATACTTAACCTCATTAAAGATCAGGGAAATGCAAATTAAAATAAGGAGATATTGTTATTCATCAGCTGATTAACAAAAATTAGAAGGATCAATGTTATTCAGTACTTGGGGAATGAGGAGGGAAACAGAAGTTCAAATTGACTAAGCAACTAAGAAAAACCTTCTTGTAAAATAATTTGGTGGCACCTACTGAAATTAGCAGCACATATTTTTTTGACCCAGTTAACTCCACTTCTAGAAATCTAGCCCATAGAAAATAGCATGATTTCTTCAAGACACATGAACAAAACTGCTCCTTCAAGCACTGTTTGTGAGAACAAACAAACTGCAATCCATCACGAAGAGAGTCAATAAGAATGTGCAGTTCACCATACATGAACTAATGAGTAGCTCATTCAAGACACAAGATCTAGTCACAAAAAGAATGAATTATTCTTATGTTCAGACCTGGTAAGATATCAATACATAGTTATTGATAAATGAGAAAAAGTAGGTTGAATAAAAATAAGTTTATTCATGACTCCGTTTTATTAAAAAATACAAGCACATGCACAAGCCTATACATGGATATAGTCCTGAAGGTATGAGCACAACAGTATGAACAAACACTGTATCCATGTGATAATAAATACTTCCAAGCCTTCCTTCCACCAGTATCAGGACCCAAGAATCAGAAAGAAAGTATACCATGTTGTCAGAAATGTACTTTATATAAACTAAGTGGTGGGATTATAAATGTTGTTTACTTTTCTCTCATTTTCACTTTTCAAACTAAAACAGAAATCCCTCACACACACAACAAAAAAGTACAATAAAACAGCTCCTCAGGTAGCTATTCAACAGATTCGACAAGAGCTATTCCACTGCAGAACCGCTACATCTGTATTTCTCTGGCAGACCAAACATGAAAGTCAGGCAAAAGAGAAATCCTGCCCCAACCAACACACGCAAGATTCTTTATTTTCATTCCTGCCCGTGGCCAAATCTTGGTGGAATTCGTCGTTATTTTTCATCTGCCAAGTAACAGAACAGGCAAGCACAGAAGACTTTTAAAAATAACATTTCAATATTGAAACAAAGCAGATTGAAACTAATAGCCTAAACTCTCACGTGCAGCACAAAAAGCGGATTCCACAAACATTCCATGCTCTGTCAATACAAAGACAATACAAAACCCAGACAGGTTTTTTTTGGAATTCTTCTGTTACCTCAATCTCCAAAGTTGCCTATTAAATCTCCTGCTACCTTCAAGTGACAACTGGGAATATAAATTCAGTTTGTTATGATACCCAAACATTGGGTGGAAAGGTCAAAGACCCAGGCTATCACCTGGATGTTTGGCTTCCACATTGCAAAAAAATCCAGACATTTCCAAATACCCAGGTGTTCGATAACAAGCAGAATAAATATCCAGAAGCTGATGGGAAGTTTTACTCTATGTCAGGTGGAACACTGTATCCATGTGATAACAAATACTTCCAAGCCTTCCTTCCACCAGTATCAGG